TTTAGTGATAGTTGTTCATGAGTCCCTTGTTTGTCCTGAAAAGTTAAACTGGCCGCTGTTCTTCAGAAAAATCCTTCAGGTTCCACGAATTCTTTGGTTTTCCAGTATTTTTGTGTATTTGAACCCTTTCCAGCAGTGACTGTATGATTTTGAGATCCATCTTTTCACACTGAGGACAACTGAGGGATGGAGGGAGGGGGGGGTTGTAACTTTTGAACAGAATGGAGATGTTTAATTTTTTTTATTTTGCCTAAATATCATATTTTTTTCATTTAGTACTACCCTTCAGAAGCTACAGAAGATACTTTCATGTTTCCTAAAAGACCAAATTAAAATTTACCCTGATCTTCAAATTCAAAATCATACCAACCTCAGACTTTCAAACAGTATTGTATGTTTGAGATTTGACTTACTAGTCATATGGTTAATAGCATCTTGAAGATGTTGACTGAGAGGAGGTTCGCTCCAAAGCTGCTGGGGTGCAGCAGGCCATCAGCATGGAAGAATCTAGGAACATAACAAGCTATGAAAACTCTGAGCTTCTCATCTGTTGTGGAGTGTTTCTTTCTGTCCTCCTGAAATCACAGAACAATTTCTATTAATATTTGTTTACCATGAAAGTTCAAAACACCTTTGAACTAGTTTTCAACCAATATTCATGGTCCTTGTAATATAAGTTACTGATTAACCATGCAGTGCATAAGTTTAGGTTAAATAAATTAACCAGTTTTCAATCACCAATTGACAAATTACCAGCAGAACCTTTAAAAAGCTGACAAAAACTTTCATAAACAATCTTTCTATAATAAACAAACAAACAATCTATCACAATCAATAGTTAGCCTACCTCATCTGAAAATGGATGCATATGGACATTTTCAAATATATTTTCAAAACCATTTTTATGAAGCATTCAACAGAAACCTGTCAATTACAAGTAAGAAAAATGTCAGGAACAGTATGTAATATTTGTGTGATTTTAGGGACTAAACTTACCTGAAAGCAGTGAAATCAGTAGCATGTTTTGCTGTTTGTCAGTTGCAGTGTTGCCGCCCCATTTCTATGGCAACTCTGCTCCACCCTTCAGTGTAGAATGACTTGAATGTTCAACGCACATGCATTAAACCATGTCACAGTCACAGAGCATTGGTTGTAACATTGTCGGTAGCTTTGTTAGAAATACTGCATGATAATAATAATGCATGATAATAATACTCTTATCTAATAATACTGCAAGAGTGGAACTTCACTGGAAACTTCCAGTTTTATATATTGTTACTTTTGATAAGAAACAAAGTCTCATCTTTATAATTATGTCAATTTTTTTCAGTAAATTCAAACAATAATTGCCGTTTTGATGCTGGTTGATGTGGCGTGACAGATCGCTGTATAAACACCTAGTTCTAGAGAAGTGCATTTTGTGGAAATATTAGACTATATACTCATAATAATTTATTTAAGAGATGTCTTAATTATTTAATTAAATAAATCTGTTATGAAACAAGTTATGACAGCCACAAATGAATATATTTCAACAACAAATATAAATTTTTATAATTTAGAAGTTTATATTTCTTTACTTACTTTACTTTATTTAGAATTTTTTACGTCACTTTTAATGCCACATGCTTGTAAAATTATATTGTTCCTTTTTTCTGGGGAGGCAGAAATTCAAGATTAAACAACAACAAAGAAAAGTGTTCAGATATCTACTGAGCCCTGAATGATCTGGTTAGAGATGAGGTAAATGACTAAAGGCTGAATCCATAAAATTCCCTTGTTTTTAAAAATTCATTTTATTCATTTTATTGTAATTTCATCTCTGTACAGTAGGCCATAAATTAATGAAATGTAAATGTCAGGGTGCATGTAAGGAAAATTAAATGTAATTAAGTTGCTATCTTTGCTTGAAAAAGAATGCCACCTTTAAAATGTGTGATGAGCTAAGCAGCATCAGTGTGGCTCAGGGGAATTTAAAGTAGGACTGCAAAGTAACTAATCCCTAGCTTTTTTAGATTTTGAAACCACAACCTAGATTTCATATTGCACTGCCTTAGCACCAGTCAAAACCAGAGCTGTAGTTTCATTGATTGGCACACTTTTAAAGCTGTGGTCTCTGCCTTCGCTGCCCTCCAAGTCTATCTTTGCTCAACCTGAGCCAGTTTTGTATAGCCGTTTCTATCTCGGCCTCTGTGATGTGTGTCAGGGCACCATTCCTAAGAATTGACACTACAAGGGAAAATATTTAGAAAAAAAAAAATACTATCAAGAGAGGGAAGCACCAGTTGGGTAACACTTTATAATAACTTTCATTAATAAATCATTAACAAACATTATGTAATGCTTAATGGATCATTAGTTAATATATATTCACATATCTAGAAATGTGAAATAATGTGCTTGTTAATGTTTACTAATAAATAGGGATGTGACGAGATCTCGTGGCACGAGATCTCACGAGATCCGACTGGTCTCACGAGAACGTGATGATATCCTCGCAAAACAATTTGCAGTGTTTACATTACAGCTGCACGATTAATCGTTTAAAGATCGCAATCTCTTTTCAAACACGCACACAATCTTATTCCTGAATGACAATGATTCAGCTCACATCAGTTTCACATCGCGAGCTTCAGTGGAGCGTGAGAAGCATGTTTTGTCGCTGCCCATGTTAATGAATCATTCATGCTGCTGCTGATCCAGAAAGAGCAACACAAACAGTCTTTTCAACCACACATCATTATTTCTGTGTTACAGACATTTAAATAACATAAGTACTGGGATAAAAGTTATAGTTTGAGTATAAACACTTATTCTCTACAGTAGCGAACAAAATGAAAGTATCTTAACACGTGTATGTATTGTAACGCTTATACTCTTCCGCCAGGAGGTGGCGACAACTGCCCGTTTAAAAAAAAAAGTATTTGTCATCGAATCATTCATTCAGGAGATTCGAATTGTGAAACAGGGGCCCGTTCTTCGTACGTTGTTTATTACATCCGAGATGATATCATCGCGCTAATCAGGATCTGGCTAATTCGGTTCTTCGAACGCATCTGTTGTTGATGATTAGTATGGCTGGATTGAGTTATCTAAGATAATTGCGCGTTCATGGGTTGATTTAAAAGGGGCTATGTATCGATACTCTAAACCACGATCAGCAATGCAGCGACTGGCTGGCGGCAAGACAGCAATGTAATGACATCATATAATTAAAAAAGTCGTAACGAGTAAACCTGGCTGACTATAGTGACTGTGTCTATATTATAGATGATGACTACACAACATTATAATATTTTTTGTATTAATTTAATTACTGTCCCTGGATCAGTAGGGTACTCTTCTAATAAAGTAGCAGTGGCTGGGACAGATTTTAAGTATCAGTTCTGCTTACAAAGATGTGATCTAATCCTGTTTACATGAAATAAACCTTAAGCAGGTTTAAATTTAAGGACCTGTTGCTATGACAGCACCTCCAAAATAACGAGGAGAATAACAACGTGCAGTAAATGGTAAATCTGTTTGCACTACAAACCAGTGTGTTCATAATTAAGATAATACATTAA